GAGTCACAAACACACAGAGAATGAAAATAAATAAGTGCACTAATTAACATACTTCCAAAACAGAAAACCAAGACTTAAAATATTATACACCTTAGTGAAGTAACAGCTGCTCCTATTAAAAACTGTATATTCCATTAGTGTGCTATTTTGTAATTTATGGTCTTTCTCACCTTGGAAAAATTATGTTACAGTTATACGGCCCATATTAACATTTTTTGGCCTTCTACAAGTAACAGCTTTTGCAACTGGACATTTAGCTATCCATTAAGCCAGTTGCTTGAGAAAAGTTTTCATTTTTTTTTTCTGGCTCCTTCAGAATGCTCCAAATGATTCAGAGAAATTATAAAAAGATTAATCCATAATGATGAAATGATGAACTTCATAAAACACAAATACACCCCTTCCCACCTAATGTGTTATCTGTGTGTCTACAGCATCATGCATCACAACATCCACATGTACCAGATTTCCAGTTTGATGACTTTAGTTTGTCCAGAATAATGGTTAGGATCAAAAGGCCCACGCACCCTGGAAAGCACGGAGGGTTTTAAGCAGAGAAAAAGGTCCTTGACTAGGCTGATATTACCAGGTTCCTTTTCCCAACTTTCCAAAGAGAATCCAATCCTATAGGTTGTAGCTCGTTCTCCTGTTAATGATAAAATGTATCATGTTCTACTACCACTTTCTGATGCCCTGAATCGTCCCTGTCATCCTAAGAGAACTCTATCACGGAAGGGGAAAACAATTTTCTTCACCCAGGGCCTTTTTCCTTGTGTTACTATTAATATCCCATGATAATATTAGCTCTGGAGGAAAGAATTTGATGGCAAAATTCCATATTTACTCATGAAATCCACCCCCAACTTCCACACACACATTTTAATGACAGAAGGAAAGCTCCCCATTCCCACCACGCTCTCTTCACACTTTCCCTCATCTCCTGACACACACTCTGGTTTTTGGTATTGTTTTTTACCCCTTGCTGACCCAAAAGCCAATTTTATTAGCAGAGACTCCCCATTAGGCAGAGTCTAGTTCGTATTTATTAGGGCAGAAAAGTATTTAAGTTTAAAAAAGTTACTTGGCACTGGCTCGAGTGTAGAGACAGGAAATGGAGTCTGCTCAGTCCTCTAGGCTCTGACCCCACCTGACTGCTCTTTTTCCCCCTCCCTTAGGCTTCAGGAAGGATGTAAGAAGACCTAATGCATCATCAAGCCTTCAGAAGATTTAAGCAAGGGCAGTGGAGTTGACAGCAGTTACCTCTCCTTCCTTTCCTAGAAATACTGTTTAAAAGATTTGCTGAAAAAAAGGAAACTCCTTAGTGTCATTAATTCTTTAAAGAGTGCAATGAATTTTGCATCTTAAAATAAAAATCATTTAAATGGCTGTTTGCAAATGTACTTTGCCAAGTGACAAAGTACATGCATTCAAATGTGGGCTCCATACTTACTAATGCGTGGTCCTGGGTAAGTTAAACAACCTCTCTGTGCCACAGTTTCCTCATATGAGATATACTTTCCAATGAAAATGATAAATACCAACCTCATAGGGTTGTTGTGAGGAGTAAATGAGTTAAAATATGGAAAGTATTTCAGAATAAAGTTGGCACTCAGTAAATATCTGACGAATTAATATAATCTAACAGAATAAATACGCCAGTTCTAGAATCCAAATAGTTTCATCCCTGACTGGTGTACAGTTATGAGTGATCCATTGCTCTTTAGTAAAAGGAGACAAGAATCTGAGTTCCGTGGAGATTTTCATGGATGAAGTGGATCAGGCCTTAATGGTAAAGGTGAGAAACTTTGATGGTTACCCACGGTGTGCCATGTTCTGAGCTTGGCATTTTTCATGTGCCACTACATGCAAGACTCCTAACAGTTCCTCTGAAGCAGACACAATTAGTTCCACTGTGCAGATGAGATAAATGAGATCAGAAACGTTAATTACCCCCAAATCACACAGCCAGTAAGTTAGGTGGAGACAGGATTTTAATCCTACACCATTTTAAAGCAAAACATAACATACAAAAAGGAGGACGGCAGATTGTGCAAGTAAGATGATTCAACGAAAAGGTCATTATTGAATAGATCATTGACAAAACAGGTTTATAATCCAAATATGGTTTGGTATCTCTTAGAATTAGCTTTGAGGTAGATTCAGACTACACACTGTTCACTTCTAATTCAATGAAGACTGCCATTGTATATTTCAAGGTAGATTCACAGACTATCAGAGACAGAAAGCAACCCAGAAGACTATTTAGTCCAACCTCCTAACAGCTAAGAGACACAGGTGAAATGGCAGGCTCAGTGTCATACAGGTGATTAGTAGCTGAAGTAGCCAGGATTCCTCTGGACCCAACATTTCTCCTCTTTTAGCATCCAGTATAGCCAACCAGGACACCATGGTTTTAAACTCACCCATTTAGATACGTGTAAATTCTAGTTCATTTTAAATATCCCCCTTCCTACTTTAGCATTTAAACCTAAAAAGAATATTAGGGTGATAAAATCCTTTGGGAAGATAATAAATAATATGAATATTCTCTAGTGAGAAGCAGCTTCCATTATCTAGAAGCTTCTATTTTTAAAAACTGACCAAAACTCTGGTTTTGCTGTATTTTGTCAAAAAAGAACAAACATTAAATATTGTCTGGGTAGGAGAAGAGCCTTTTAAAGGGAAAGTATTGCTCTTTTTCACGCAGAGAGGAGTTAAAAAGATCTTTACATTTTCTGTTGTTGCTGTTAGATTATATTTATTCGCCAAATATTTACTGAGCACCAAACAGCTGTACTAGCAGAGTCTGGCTTTTCTTGCATATTTCACAGCACTCATTAGAGTGCTGGGCTTTTGGTAGTAACTGATTAATTGGTGGTATCTTCTCCTATGTTCAGTATATTAAACGACTTCAGGACAAAAGTCACTAAGGTTATGTCAGTGATATTCTCCTATGGAGGTGAAGGAAGGAGATGGCTCTTGACTATTCTAAGGCTGGCACTGCCCCAAACCATGCAGCATGAAGTGTACTTTCTTAGTTATAATTATCATCAGTAATGTGAAGTCCAATGTTTTACAATTTCTTTCACTGTGACTGCATCAAAAGTTTACGATCAATAGTACTACATCTTACGCTGGCAAGCATCAGGCTGTGTGATGGCAGCCATGCTAAAAAAAAAAACGCACTATCTAATTATGTCCTAGTACACAGCTCTATCATAGGGCTAAGCTTTGTTCATGTGGGCTATAAAGACAGATGAAAAGCACATTATCCACCGCTCAGCAATACCGCGTTATTACAAACGTAACAAAAAAGCTAAAAATGCCAGACCTTGGTAAGCTCAAACTTTCTGACCTAAACTTCAAAATATGCAAAACATTACTTTGGTAGAAAGAGGTTTGGATTGCAATAGCAAATGTGGAGAAAGAGGGAGTAATAAAGGTAAAGACAAAGAAGGATGGAAGGACACAACTCTAAGTGATTTTTATAGCAGACACTTAGCCCAGGTCAGCAAATAAATTACTAACTGACAAGAAACTGGCATATGAACTAAGCAAGTTTTTCAAGCCAAATATCCTGAAATAAAGGAATGCTGGTGGGCTGAATAGGCACCGAAACCAAAATTAGCCACAAATTCACTGGATATTGGCAGGCCCACGAGGCCTAGCAAAGATTTACCTGCTGTATTGTATACAACTTCCTGCAGATGATACTGAAAAGTCAACAATCAAGGAGCAAGTGCTGTTAATTCACTATTTGGGTTTCTCTGCTTTCCCTAAAATGCCATATTGCAAAATCAACCTAGGACTTAAGGAATCAACAGTACAA